AGAGATCTTGAATCCTTAGGTCCATATGATACCACCTGCTATTGCGACAGTGGTAATAAAACATATCTAACGCATCGTTAGGACATATTCTGACAACAGGGTCTTTTACACAGAGCTTTATCTACATCACAGGTCTGTTCTCCAGCCAGGGACAGGCTGCTCACTGCTGATCCACTGGAACTCTTCGGCCCCCAGCTTGGGCGGTATTGTAGGAGTCACAAATCTTACATTTCATGCCTAAGATATGGAATTGGACTGTGGATCGTCCGTTACAGTCATTGCAGAGAATATCCACAGTCACATTTTGGTATTCCGATGGCATAGGGGTTTGTGCAACCTCATTATCCAACTGTCTCCAGTACCGAGTCATATCCAAGGCAGAATGCATACACAGCGGACATCTGTAGCCTTCTTTTAACATTTCTTCGTAACACGTTCTATGTAAGAGATGCCCGCACGGCAAGACGTGAGCAACAACTCGGGAGGTGTGAATGTCCTCCAAGCAGATTGGACAATTCTGCCGAGAAACATTTTCAATACACTTATGTTTTCCTCGAAGATTCATAGCTAGGCATAAGTTACATTTCAAGCAATGAAAAAAATCTTCCTTTGGACCAATCCTACAAATTCCACAGTTCTCGCAATGATACTGCTTCTTATCTTTGTCAAAAAGATGGCATATGCTGCAGTAATATTCTCCAAACAATGTGCTACAATCTTCACAAGTCTGCTGGGCATGCTGGACTTTTTCACAGTTGATGCACTGCACTTCCTTCACCTTGAAGCGGTCGAGCTGATGGTCCTCACTGTTGTCGTGACACAGCCGGCAAGTATACAGCTTGTCACAACAAGGCACCTTGAGCAGACAGCCGCGGTCATAGTGCTCGCAGCCCCGCCGCCCTCGCTCCGGGCTGCCGCGGACGCCATCTTCCCGCGCCGCCGTCGCCGCCATCTCCTCCACCTCCCCTCGCAAGCCACAGAACCTTCCCCCAGCTTGGAAGCCACGCCTCCCGAGACAAATTCTTTCACTGGACACAGAGCTTGCTAATTTGGCTATGGACCAATAAGCTGAAGGTATCCTCCTGTATCTGCTTCCCACTCCAGCCCTGAGGTAACAGACACATGCCACCATGTCCAGTTTTTAAATGAATGCTCTGGACCTGGACTCAGGGTCCTAATGCTTATGCAGCAAGCATCTGACTAACTGATCACCTCTCTAGCCAGAAAACCTGTTCTTAAAGAGAAACGGCCCTAAGAGTTGAAATCCTTTCTCCAGAGACAACTGACTTGGAAAGAAACCTCGATGGATGGCGTTTCAAAGTTCACTGGAATGACAGCCAAGGTCACAGCATTCCTCACCCTTCTCAGGGTTTCTTTCCTCTTCGTTGGCATCACTCTCCTACCTAACTTTCCTCTTCTGAGAATCTACCTCAGAGCCCATGCTCTTAAGTTCACTTTCTTATATTCTTTAATCCACACACACTCCCTAAACAAATATTATACAAACACATTAAGAAAAACAAACATTGCATTTACTTACTTTTTTCTTATTTATGTATAGTTTGTTCAAAGTACTTTGGAAGTTTGAGAAAACCTATTCTCCACCCTACCCCTCCAAATCACACCAAAACAAGTTTAAAAGAAGGGAAAGGAAAAAAGACTCACAGGAAAATGAGGCATAAATGCCTGGAACTCAACAAGGAGAGAAGAGCCTGCTGTGCTGGAGGAAAAACCAGGCAGAAGGAAGGCAAAGCCACAGAAAAGGTTTCCTGCCAGAATGTCTTTCTTCTGACCTCAGCAGGAACTCAGCAGTTACCCCAAAGCATGTCTTCTTTAGAGAAGATACTGTCACAGCTCAACAGTCAAGAGATTAACGGGGGCAGGAGCATAGGATGTGAGGAAGCAAAAGTTTGCGAGGGCCTGGTTTATTAAATAATGGTAGACTGGACAATCGATGCCCACATGGACTTCTTCAGCTATTAAACATTTAGTTAAATATATGCTGGACAGTAAAGAAAGCAAGCTGGCTGTGCCAGTGGCCTGATCATAAGTGTCTGGCTCTTGCTAGGCAGAGACTTGGGGTTTCCCAAGTTCCTTCTTTCTGAATGTCCAATGCCAACATTCAGGCAATGGGACTGAGCAGCCAGTAAGAGCAAAGCCCACTGCCTCCTACTCCTGCCACATGACTTTCAGCTAAACTTTTAGCAAACTATTTCACACCAAAGAGTGGAAGAAAATGTCAAGCATGAGGTAATCCACTACTTCCTGTATTTTCATCTCAGCAAGAGAAAAATGAGCAGCCCAAGTATGTAAGGACTGGATTCCTGTCTCATGACACAGTTTATAACCAAAGCAATAAAGTTAACTTTCATTTCCCTACTGTTAAAACAAGAGAGAGAGAGAGAGAGAGAGAGAGAGAGAGAGAGAGAGAGAGAGAGAGAGAAGGAATGGAGAAAGAAAGATGTTGCAGGTTTATATTTACTCTTCCTAGATATAAAATGCCAGATGATAAATTATAATTAGGAGATGAAAGATACAGAAAGAATGCACGACAGACCCTTACCTGAACTACCTGAACATTAAAGGGTGGAAGGAGAAATCAATAATTTTCCAATAGCCCTCCCACTATAAAATAATGAGAAAAAGCTTTTTACACATGTGGGAAGAAAGTAAACCTTGTATTTAAAAAAAAATCATTTATCCTCTTTATTTAAAAAAAAAAAAACAACCTAGTCTCCTTTAATAGTCTCTCCTTTCTCCACATGCACACGTGCGAGCATGCATGTGTTTGTGTGTGAGAGAGAGGCACTTGTTTTCATTGTGTGTGTGTGTGTGTGTGTGAGAGAGAGAGAGAGAGAGAGAGAGAGAGAGAGAGAGAGAGAGAGAGAGAGAGCATTCCTGGAAAGACATTATTAACAATGACTTCGACTCATGGCTTAACAGCTGCTGCTTCTATTTGTTATGCTGTTTTGAACAAATGATGGCATATCCTGAACTACCTTTAAAATTAAAAAAGCTATTTTGGCAATTAAAAACATGCTTCTGTAGTAAGTTCATTAACACAGTCATGTCAGCACCCATCAGGTCCTTACAATATCCATTTTAAAAGGTTTACTTTTCCTTGAACCTTAAACATAATTGTATCTATAGAAGAACAAATCCCTAGTTCTCATGAGTCAAGACAGCTGGAGCCTTAATGAAATTCTGTTCTCAATTTCCCCCTTGCCACTCAAAAGGCACTATAAGGCTAGCAAAGAAATATACTAATTGTTTGGGAGAACAAGATGAGCACAGGAATTTTGTGAAAAGACTGTGATCACCAGATACTCTGGCTAAAGTATTTCAAATCTCCTGGTATATTTAATTAATAACTGGATATATATATATATACATATATATGTATATATATGTGTGTATGTATATATGTATATTCACACACATACTCACACACACACACATGTCACATCTGATCTCCTTTAGTCTTCAAGAGCCCATTTGCTCTGTTCCTTAAACCCTTAGTCACTAAAAAAATGTCTAATTTAGAAAAACACTAACTAGTTCACTGGCAATTCCTGTGAGAGTGATTGGCAATGGCAACTGAGAGACAAAGTCATTCTACTGTTAGTAAATCTTATTTCTAACCATACTTCCCCTACAGTCTGTTCTTTAAAAATGAATGGCTTAGGCAGCTAGAGAGATGGTTCAGTGGTTAAAGTGCTTATAGTTCTTCCAGAGGACCTGAGTTCTGTTCCCAACACCTACATCAGGTAGCTCCTAACTACCTGTAACTCCAGCTCCAAGGGACCTGACATCCTCTTCTGGACTTTGTGGGCAACGCACTTGTCAGGGTTTGAATGAGATGTCCCAACAGTCTCAAGTATTTGAATGCTTGGTCCCCAGTTGGTGTCACTGTTTGGGAAGGCTTAGGAGGCGTGGCCTTGCTGGAGGAAGTATGTCACTGGTGGTGGGCTTTGGGAGTTTAAAGACTCCTGCCATTTCCAGTTCTCTCTCTCTCTGCTTTGTGCTCGTGGTTGTGTGAACCTCCTGCTTCCTGCGGCAGCCACCATGACTGCTGCTATCACTCCATCATCACGAACGCTTAGCTTACCCTCTGGAACCATAAGCCCAAATAAACTGCTTCTTCCATAAGTTGTCTTGACTGTGGTGTTTTATCACAACAACAGAGAGTAACTAATACAACACTCACATGCGCATACCAATATACACAAGTAAGTAATTAAAAACAGAATAGTTTTGTTTTGTTTTTTAAGAAAGAAAGAAATGGCTTAGGATGCAAATCACTGAGGAGTTCCAATCATTTCTGCTTTCCTGGTTAATGTATAGCACTCACTCTAAAGGACTGTCAGATGGAAACTCTATGAAGAATATATCGTCATTTTATAGGAAAAGCAGATGGACTGTCAATGGCTGTGCTTTTTCATGTAGTCTAACATTTTTAACATTCAAAAATTCTAGTATAAACATTCATGCTTGTACAATCTGACATTATTTAACATATTCTTCACCAATGACTATAAACATTTAATGAAAAAACAAAAAAGGAACAAAGAAACTTGGGAACACAGATCTAAACACTCCACAATTGACAAATTAACCAGCCTACATTTCAGAAGTCTGGTCCTCAATTACGAAACAGGCATTGGCTTAAAACACAGAACAGGAGATGGTGTTTTACTTTCCCTTTCATTAGAAACAAGCAGCATAGCTACGGGGTGACAAGGAACAAACATCAGGGTGCAGTTTGTGTTTTCTAATGCACAGTACGTAGCCTGACATCAGGGCCATGCTCCACTTCCTCAGCGCTGACCGCTCCGTCAAGTCGGCATCCAGCACGGCACTCACTCACACTGCTGCACTTGCGTCACCGCCCTCATCCTGCCTCCTACCTACCGCGGTACCTTCTCCAAGATACAAGTCTGAAGTCTTGTACACAGCAGGTGCTCACAAATGTTCGCTTTATTCTTTGAAAATGAACTTACCCTTCGGAATGATACGACGTAAAACGTGTCTCCCCTTCTGCGGATGGCTTCAAAGAAGCCTTGGTAACTTCCCGGTGAAGCGTAATACACTTGCAGTTCATTCCCAGAATTTCTACTGATGTGAGAAGACAGAAAATATCAATATTCAAACATGTTGAGTCTTCCCAATCCCTTCCATTCTAAGGCCACATATGAATCTTAAGAATCTCTTTCAACCAAAACAGTAGCATTTTAAGAACAATTGTTACTTTTTAATCTTTTTTACTTGGCACATATTTATGGGATGCCATATGATATTCTGCTACATTTGACTTATGCAAATGATATGTTTTTATTGCTATTGTTGTTTGGGGTGCTGGAAGACCAAACATAAGGTCTCACACCTGCTTCGTTAACCAGCCTGGTTCACAGAGCAAGTCAGGAAGAGCTATGACTACAAGTCCGCTCCACTACAGCTAGCCCTTAATCGTGACTGTCTTCCTTCCCACACCACTTTCCCTCTCAGTTACATCCGCCTGGATGATGACAGCTGAACTGCTGGATACTGCACTCTCTTCGGAATCTCTCAAAATCTCCTGTGGTACTATGTAGGAACACGAGATTCTTTGAAGTCAAACAGACAGGGTCTGAAGTCTATCACTTGGTTCATGACTTTGAAAATGATTAAAAACAGCAACAAAACCCCCCCTGACTCCCTACCCTTTCCATATATAAAATACACTTTTGAACTATTATGTAAATTTAAAGATAAGCTGTATGTAAAGTACCCAGCCAGGGTGGATGAGATGGTTCAGCAGGTAAAAGCACCTGTCACACAAAGCCTAATGACCGAGTTCAATCCCCAGGATCCACATTTAAAAAAAATGCTGGATCAAGCCAGGCAGTGGTGGTGCACTCAGGAGGTAGAGGCAGGTAGATCTCACAGCCAGAACGACACAGTAAAACCCTGTCTCAAAAAATAAAAACAAAAAGCTGACCGAAGGACACAACTGTAATGCCAGCACTACTTTAGCGCTAGGAGAGGTCAAGACGGAGCAATCACCTTGAAACCTAGAGTTCATAGAACAACCGAAACAAGAGTGAGCCTGCATTAACAAGTGGGAGGAGAGAACTAACTCTCCAGGGTTTTTCTCTAACTTAACTTTTCCTCTGACTTCATTACACACATATGTTGTTCGAATCTTAGATGGTCTTTTAATATAAAACTTGGTACCAGATATTGGGGAGAAAGCTAAAAGATCAGAGAAGCCAGCTACTAGTTCTTACCTCTATGAAATCCTCAGCCTAAACAGAGTGAGTTTCTGTTTCCTCACACCTTATGTACCTTTCTCTGCCCTGCCATATTACTTCCCGGGATTAAAGGCCTGTGTGCTTCCCAAGCAGAGGCATGCGATCTCAAGTGCTGGGATCAAAGGTGTGTGCCACCACTGCCTGATCTCTATGTCTAATCTAGTAGCTGGCTCTGTCCTCTGATCCTCAGGCAAGTTTATTAGGGTACACAATATATCACCACACATATACACACACACATGCACACACAAAATAATAATTTTTTAATGTGATCACTCAGCAAGACACCTACAAAAGAGAAAGAAGGTAATATCCCTCTCCCTGAGGCTTAGAAAACAGATAAAAATCAAGAACAAGAAAGCAATGTGTACTTCGGATTTTCAGCAAAATTATGACTGAAAAACACTCTGGCAAAATCTGCATTTAAGAGATTTGGGAGAGGTGATCTTTTTATTAGGATTGTTAAACTGGTAGTATATGTTCATTTGAACTGATATAAAAGTTGTAGAGGAGCACTCAAAGGAGATGTGAATTTCAACTTCACTAAAATTACAATATAGTTCAAGCCCTCTGGCCAAGAGCTTTGCATCTTCTTACCTGATGCTAGTGGTTTCTGTGTACTGGACAGCCATCAGCTGAGAATTTGAGCCCTGTTCCAGAGCACCCTGGAAGAGAGAAAGAGATTTAGGAATCCACATGAAAAACCTCCAATACTGACTCATACTTGGATTTGTTATTTAGAATCATTCTGGTCACAATGTAGGCTGAGAATATACCTTACACAGTCTTATTAAGACATTTCAGATACTTCCTACAAAGTTTACAGAAAGAATGAGGAAGTTCAGTCCAACCACTGCAGGTTTTATGACCAAGCTGTACAAGTATTACTGGGCATGTAATAACTTTCATTTGTCAAAATTATTATGTTACAGACAAATTCCTAAGAAATAAGAAAGTCTCAAAATGAAACGAGATTTCCACTATTCACCAAGCTACACACAAATTCCTCATGCCTAACAGACTTATCAGTTGTACTTCATGAAGGGCATCTAACCCATGGCTCTCTTGGCCAGAGAACAGTTCAGTATGGAACCATCAGTGGCCAACATGTTACACTAGAAACCTGTAACCTGTATTTCACATGGCATTTGCTCTGTCCTCTGTCCTCCCAAACTTCCTGGAAGTTCTGTAAGCTAATCTTTAGGAGAAACTTGTAAGGATATCAGAATTCAAAGGAATATTACTATTATTACATTACAAAGTGATCTTATTGTTCCTTCACAGCAATAAATATTTTTGATATATAAATACTAGTTTAATCATAAATCTGAAATTTATTAATTGTTGTGTTCATATATCCATCTTTACATGAAGTTGGGCTTCAAAATTAGATATATAAATATTTTTGA